GTAATGCTTGGCATTTGTGTCGCAAACTTTAGCCTGCAGCTTCTGCAAGGTCTCGACTAACTGGTCCATTACACTTTCGGTTATTACAGGTTCGGCTGCTTTTATACTCTCCGCTAATGCTCTTACGTCCGTTCTGCAAAGTAAATCGTGTAATTTCCCGCTTTAGTGCTCCGTAAGCACATGTCGTGTATATACAGCTCAGCGTGTAAAATAAAACGAAAATCGTAGATAAAGCAACGATATTAAACAACACTTTAGCGGCTTTAATCTTTCACTCGAAGGCTACGATAAATAATTGCGAAATTCAAATGGACGATTACTCGGCGGACAAATCCAATAGATCGATCATTTTTGTCTTCACGTCACCGCCTTGCGTATATTCCAGTGCGAGACCTAAAATTTCATCAAAAACCATGTCTCAAATGTATCAAATTAATCTTAATCGTATTTCTATTGAAAAACAGAAAAATGCAGTTCGTGCATTACATATTTTCGTCTTCTCACACGTGTCGATATTTTTAATTAATGTTAACTAGTAATTTTGTAAGCGTTTCTTATTCATAAATCTTTGATGAGCTCATTTTTTTACGCTTAATAAGCAATTAAAAAGTAAAAAACTATAGAATCTATTTCGAGCGTGAAATTAATAATGCATTAATGTGCATTCAGTTTTGTCAAAGTTTTTAATTTGTGTTACAGCGTGCTTGTTATGTATGTACCTCTCTTTTGTCTGCTCACCTGGTGGAAAATAACGAAGCAAGAATTTCAACAGCTTCATGTGGATGTATCCAATTATAACGTGTTCAGTGTTCCGGACAGGGCTGCGAAATGCTACTATCTTATGGGAGAAACACAGATTTAATTATAAAATGTGATTACGTGTCAGGGATTACGACGTATCGCGAAAATGCGTATTCTCTGCGCCGATCGGACCAGCCAGAGCTGTCAAAACCGTGTTTCATCCGTTCATCCGTTCGTTCGTTTGTGCGTGCATGCCAGTCAAATGTGTTGTCTTGTAAAAATAATCGTGCGTTGCTTAGCGCTGGAGATTTGTTGCTACGATCCGTTTGATCAATTTCGAACACTAAGTTTATACTTAAATACTATTTATACTCGAAATTTATGCGCTATAATTGAAAGAAGAAGAGAAAACGAGAGAAATATGTATGCCGAATATAGCAAACTGTATGAAAATATTATCAAAATAGATTTAAGTGTAATTAAATTATATTGTAATTTTATTAATTATAAAAATAGAACGCGCATACTTACTGCTACTTTAAAATTGGATATCGATATGAAATCGATCTTTAATGACTCGTGAAGCATTGCATCTTAATCCAAAATAGTTTTTTAATGAACGTTATGGCATCACCGATGGATCGATTTATAAGTTTTTATTTATATATACATACATCAAAGAAAATTTACTGATATTTTAAGCATCTTCATAGATTACATAACAATGTTATAAGATTATGCAATTTTGAACAAGAAATTCGATGTATGCACTTTTATGTTTATAATGTTAACATTTTCTGCTGCAAAATTATTTCAGAGAAATTTGGAAAGAAATAGTTTTGTTATATTCCATATGCACTGAGATGTTGCTACCAAAATTAAACAACAGTATTGCAGAAAATAATTAATCGTTAATATTGATACCAAAAAATAGAAACTTTATTAGATTATAATAGTATTTTTAAGTGTAATATATATATCTATATATATATAACATAACATTATTAGCATTTGTCTACCATTGTCGCATATAGTAGATTCGCATAATATTCAATGTTCAATATTCATTATACGTAATATTATTATGATACAACAGTCTGTACATTGTTTCTACATTATAACATAATAAATGATTGGGCATTCTCATTATTACAATGTCCAGCAACGTTAACAGCAACATTATCCTTTTCTAGAGTTATCCAGCTTTTTTTTCGCGATTCCTTTCCTCACTTTTCGACATCCTGGCGATGCTATTCTATAGAGATGCGAGGTGCTCAGTCTTGTATCCCAGCCGACATATAACTGCTTAATTCGATCTCTTTGCTTAATAAGGCCTAGAGAAAAATACCTAACATATAAGCAATAACTATATTTCGTTATTCATGTTTAAAGCAATCTCGTGTGTTGCACATAATACACATGTCCTATATTAAAACTCCTCTTGCCTCACGCAGCCATATTAAATTATGATGTCTTTCAGAAGTGAAAAATAATTCGATCTCCTTTTCTTCCAGCATACAGCGATATAAATTTGTTTTTACGTATATCGTCATTCTCGTTTCATGGTATAGATTGATAAAATTCACAATCGTCATACTCTCCCATTTTTATGCATTTTCGTAAATTCAATCTGCGTACAAGTCAAAGTCTTGTATCCTACATATTTTACATGGCAAATAGACTTGTGACGATTAATCGAGATTTACAATTCTTTATTAATCTACGAGTTAAAAAGAGAGTCGTCCTTATATTTTATCGATCTATATCTGCTGAGCATAATTTGTGAAAAAACCATTTCGATATATAACACACAGAGAAATATACAATTAACACAATTTCTCGCTTCAGACATCATCATTTGATACAACAACAACGGAAGACTAGAAGTCTTAGAGAAATACTTTCTTTTTTTCTTTTTTACACTGAAATATATCATGCTTATTTGTGTATTTTTAAATGTATACCTGCCTAATTTATACAGATATTTGATTTCTGTATAAGCCAATTGCATTAAAAATAACACTTTTTAAATATCCGATTTAATCCTGTAAAATATTAAAATAAGAAATTTTAAGTATCAATTTACATTGCATTGTTATGTGTGTCACGTAATATGCCTTCCAAGTATATTCTTACAAAATAAAATACCTGCTTTCGGCCAATCAATCGGGCATGTCTATAGAGATTATAGGCACGACAGGTTTCATTAGGTCAATTTTTTTAATGAGCTTTTCACCCTTTTCTGTAATCATTGGCTCGGATGGTGGTTGATCTCGCTCGTCTCTCGGTTGATACGAAATATTACCATACTCTTGAAGAAATGGAAATAAACCTAGCAGGAAGTGACAAAAGTCTTTTCTGATACCAAACCACCCTAAACAAAAATTTCATTATTTTTATATGCTAATAAAGGTTAATAAAAAGTTGTTAAATAAACATAAACATATAAATACATAAATATATAACATATCTCACATTTATTTCCACCCTTCGCACCAAATGACATGAAAATGAGAGTTATATGCGACACAATGAGTGGCATTGCCACGGTAGTATAATTTGTTGAAATATCTCCATCCAATTTATTTGCCAACAACACCTAAAACAGGATAAATTGGTAAATGATGCTATAAGAAAATTGATTGTAAATTGTAGAAAGACTTGGAAATATACTGCGCATAACCAACCTGGAATACTAAAATGGGTACAACGAGAAATGTATATGCTAATGCTGAATTCAAGGAAGTCCGCCTTTGACGAGCATTGATCTGTGGTGTTCTTAGTAAAACTGCGGCAAACACTATCGCATACAAAACGGCTACTAAAGATAAGCAAAGTAGTGCCCACAGTGGCACGAACACAACCTCCCAACTCCACGTTATAAAACCATCTAATCTTAAAGCCAAGAAAATAAACTGCAACACATTGACAGCGCAGAATAATTCCAGTTCAAAAGATCGATCATGTTTCACAGCCCAGATGCAAACCTAAATTGCAATGGAAAATTGTGAAAAGAAATCTTTGTCAATATAATCATTGGCTGATTGTTAAAGAATCCATTACTTACTGCGATTGATACTATTGAAATGAATATCAAAGGTATGAACACAAGTATCCACAAGTGTCTTTCGGATTCCAATTTGTCACACACTAACAATTCGAACATTAGTAGAATCAAATGTAACGCTAGAGTGATAAGCATCGCTTTATAATGCACATAGGCATCTCCTTCCAGTCTTGCGTGCGGATGTCTCCACCAAACGTAGCTTCCGACTATAGCTCCTAATATTACCATACTTTTCCAGACCCATATCGGACTGAAGACTGACCAATAACTCCATTCTATGAAGCCATCCAATCGAAGAGCGAATAAAATGGTAAATATCATCAAACAGAGATGCACCAAAAATTTACTGAAATGTAAAATTAACATATCTGCACGTGTACTTGTGAGTAAATACTGCAAAAAATATTCACGATAAGCGACTTTTAATTTTCGGAGTCACTGATATGGAACGAAATAATATAAAAATTACCTTGGATTGAAGTCTTGAAAAAGCGTTTGCAAATTCATAATTCTCAGAGCGGTTATGTAGGCCAATTTTAACCGAGGAGAAGCTTTATATGACTTATCAAATACAGATGCATGCTCCGGTAAGCATGCGATTTCATTTACCACAGATGCTATTATGGAAAAGCGTAAACGATGGCTCGTCCATCTATATTTGGAGAAAAAATAAATTACAACTCGTTATAACCAAAATTTCGAGCATACTGAAGTCAGCTAATAACCACTGGTCGTTTCTGGCTTCTCCCACCTTGTCGACTATATTTATGCCAGTGACATATGTAATAATGGAGGGTACACATTGCATCCGATGCACGTGGATGCAAGAAACTTCGATGTTCAAACAGGAAAATGTGCTTTCTAAGGACTCCGTCAAATGCCATATTCGTTCCTGAAAAAAATATTCGTATCAGATATAGAGTTATCGGATGCATTATTAATTGTTAAACGTATCAAATAATGCGTACCGTATGAACCCTCCTTAAGAAACTGTCAGATACGAACGCCCTCACTGCTGCTGCTGCTGCTGACACTGCTGAGCCATTGCTGCTAGTACTGTTCGATGCTGTTGGTTGAACGCGAAGTAAATAATGGCGGAGTCATGTATTGTTATTACGTGTAGACGATAATGGTTATTTGTATCTTGGCACGCAAACGTACAAGACATCGGTCTTATTTGGGAGAATGTACTATTTCAAACATCTCGTGCCAATGTGAGGCGATGCCTGTAACGTGAAAGTGTGGAAATTCGAAAATTGCACTTGCATTCAGTGAGGCGAAGTAAACAACGATATAACTATTTACCGAGTTTTTTTTTTGACGATTACAACGGACCGTCGCACGTTTGTTTTCTCATTGCAAATGGGAAAGATGAACCGCAGATGTATCAAGCGACACAAACGAGTTAAAGAATATTTTTGATAACGTTTCCTTTTCTGTTTGTGTGATGTAAAAGCAGATTGACGTACGTGTGCTCACCCACCGTACGTGTGTGTTACTTGTGCCTGACAAAATACCGATTTTGTTATTCACCATGGTACATGGTACCCTACCGAACGCATACAAGTATAATTTTTGGGCAGAGAGGCCCGGAGATGCACAAGAACCAGCAGTGGTGGAACTCACGTGCCTGATGCCAAATGGTGTTGTCATACCATTTGAGATCAATCGTAATATTACCTTAGACCAGATCAAAGAGGTAAACACCTTGTCCGTAATTTATGCAAACTATTTTATTAATCGACAATGCAATTTGTTCCTTCCTTCTCGACCTTTAGACCGCCGCAGCCAAATGCATATTTGTGTGTAATCTAATTGATTACAAATTTAAGTTTCTACACAAAGTTAAGTTGTTTCAAACGCAATTTTATGCACAAAGAGAAACAAATTGCATTTGTGATTGAATATTAAGTATTGTTGAAATTGCATTTTAATGTACGAACAAGGAAACATTTATTAGTTGAAAAGAAAACATATTTGGAATGCAATAATGATAAGCGTCTTATCAACATATATTAAATGATAGTGCTGTTGTGAAAGGAATATTTATTTTGTAATTTTATAAATAGGCAATTGCTAAACTTAAAAATTTGTTTTAAATATATGTCGAATATCTCAAATTGTGCAGTTAAGGCACTTTAATAAAATTTATATATTGAATAGATCAACAGTGATACAAAAATTTAATAATATTTAAATAGGATCTCTGGGACGAGGCTAGTAAGTATCCTCTCCATGGAACATTGAAGGATGCACCGTCGTATGTATTCTCGTGCATCAACTCAAACGCAGAGGTAGAAGAATTGCGGGATGAAACAAGACGTCTCTGTGATATAAAACCTTTTTGTTCGGTGTTAAAAGTTATAGAACGCGAAGGTAAAAGTGATAGGAATTTAGATTCTCAAATTGGCCTCTTAATCGGTAAAGGCCTGCACGAGTTTGCAGCCTTGAAAAATTCCGAGGTCAACGACTTCAGATGGAAAATGCGGCTTTTGGGAGATGAGGTGGCGTTATCTAGGCAAAATAAATGCTGGACGGAAAAAGTGCATTATCAGTTTCCTTCGAGGATAGCGCCGACATCTACTATACCTAAAAATATAGAAACTCGTTTGAAAGACGGAAATATCGTTTTAGTTACAAAATTCGAAAATTCCGAGGTAAAGTAAATCTTGGTTTTATCGAGGATAATTCTGTCCGTTATCTCACTATGAATCATCATTAAAATGACGATAATGTTGTTATTCCAGACAATGTTCACCTTCCAAATATCACATACCACTACGCCACCCGAGTTGCTCGAGATAATCCTGAACAAAAGGGCGAATACTCTTAATACTCGAGGTGAACAACCTAATGACTTTACACTTAAGATTTGCGGACAAGAGGAGTATTTGATCGGCGATAAGATTTCGCTCATACAATTTAGCTATATTCAAGATTGCTTAGCGAAAGACATTACACCAACGCTGGTTACACTCAGCAAGCAGAGTGTACCTGTGGACCAAGATAACGCCTTCGACAATCCGGACGCCGATATGCTGCAGCGTACGAAACCGTCGTCCTCGACGTTAACATTGCGCAAGAAAGGAAAGCACATTTCGACGTTGAAGATCGAGGAACCATTCATGTTTACCGTAAATAGAATTTCTCGACTTAATTGCGACGCCGCTCATCGAATTGTGGAGGTACCGTATTCCAGTTCCCTTCAAGTTTTCTGTTTCCAGAAACAAGACCACTCAGCGCCTATATAATATTTCTTTCGCGTTTTTTTTTCTTCTACAGATCGGATTGCAAGCTGGTCTTTTTCACGGTGGAAAATCTCTGTGCGAGAGTCAAAAAACCAAAGAAATTATCGTTAATCCCGATGACAGCTGCGAATGGGAAGAGATCCTCAAATTCGACATCAAAGTCCGAGATATACCGCGAATGGCACGCCTATGCTTTGTATTATATGAAATCAGCAAAACTGCGAAAGGTCTGAAGAGCAGAAAGCTGGTCAGAGATTCGAAACAGGAATTTTTCATAAATCCTTTATGTTGGGCGAATACGACGATATACGACTTTAAGTCCCAATTGAAAACGGGCGCTACGACGTTGTATACGTGGACGTACGCAGAGGATATACAGAATGACGATCTGCTTCATCCGCTTGGAACAGTGGTCTCCAATCCGCATATAGACAGAGCAGCTGCGCTCATGTTAACGTTTCCAAAGTAACCAAGTTCAAGTTTCGCAATTTCTAAAGAATAACATTTTATACCGCATAATCGTGCTTGTTTAATGCTGCTTTCTTTTTTACAGCTACGGGAAAGATCAGTGTGTTCTTTATCCCACGCCGGAGAAAATGGTCGAGTATGCCCAAACGTTGCGAGAACAATCCGCGGAACGCACGGTCAAAGACGAATTGAATCAAGAGTCTGATGTTAGTCAACCGTTGGAGCAATTGAGATTACTAGCCGACAGGGATCCGTTGCACGAATTACACGAACAAGAGAAGAAGACGATGTGGGTGTTGAGGCATCACTGTCTTCGTGAAATTCCGACGCTTTTAGCAAAATTATTACAGTGCGTCGAGTGGAATGATCATAGGTGAGAAATTTTGCAATTATATAAAATGTGACAAATTAAACCTGTGTGTCGACTTGATTTATAGGGAAGTCGCGGAGGCCACGGCTCTTATACAGCAATGGCCGAAATTACCGGTTGAAAAGGCCTTGGAGCTGCTGGATTATGCTTATGCGGATCAAAATGTCAGAAACTTTGCGGTTCACTGTTTAAGAGACGTCACCGACGATGATCTCAGTCTTTACTTACTGCAGCTGGCTCAAGCGTTAAAGCACGAGAATTATTTGGCGTGTCCTTTGACGGAATTTCTCTTAAAACGGGCGCTTAACAATCAACGGATAGGACATTTTTTATTTTGGCACCTCAGGTTAGTAGTGATATTTCGTATACGTGTAGTGTTATTCCACTCGACATTCCGTATTCACTCGCTCTCGATCTTCTTCCAAACTGCCTTTAGGTCAGAGATGCAAGTCGGCGCTGTATCCGTTCGCTTCGGTTTAATACTGGAGGCGTATTGCAGAGGAAGTCAACAGCACATGCGATCGTTGTTCAAACAGATGAAGTGCTTGGATAAATTGAAGAGTGTTTCGGAACAAGTGAAGCTGAAGAAGGATCGTAAAGCGGCGCTTCAGGCCTTTCAAGACTTCATCCAAGAACCGCACTGCCAGGAAGCAATATCCGATGTCCTTAACCCCCTTGATCCCAGTTTCAGGTGGAACACCATCAAGTGAGCTCACCGCCTTCACTCGTCCAAGTTACAAAGTTTGCTCCTTTTTATGTATCTCAAATCTTTTCTCTTCTTTTTTTGGCCAGAATCGAAAAATGTCGAGTGATGGACAGCAAGATGCGACCGCTTTGGCTGGTCTTCGAGAACAGCGATATTTTTGGTGACGATATTTACTTGATTCTCAAGCACGGAGACGACTTGAGGCAAGACATGTTGACACTTCAAATGTTACGTATTATGGATAAGCTGTGGAAGAAGGAGGGCTTGGATTTGCGCATGAATCCATACGGTTGCATATCGACGGAGAACAAAATTGGGATGATAGAAGTGGTGTTAAATGCGGAAACGATCGCGAACATTCAAAAGGAGAAGGGCACGTTTTCTGCGACGGCGGCTTTCAGGTGAATATAAACGTTATTGATACATTGGTATGCGATACGTCGCATCGGTATAAATTCGCCAAACGCGAATCGGATTCTTATCGCTTCTTCTGTTCGCAGGAGAGGTTCTTTGTTAGCTTGGCTGAAGGATCACAACCACACGGAAGCGGCATTGAACAAAGCCATCGAGGAGTTTACTTTAAGTTGCGCGGGTTATTGCGTCGCGACATACGTTCTCGGAATAGCCGATAGACATTCCGACAATATAATGGTGAAGAAGACCGGGCAACTGTTTCACGTCGATTTCGGTCACATTTTGGGCCACTTCAAGGAGAAGTTCGGATTCAGGCGCGAACGCGTGCCCTTCGTTCTGACCAATGACTTCGTGCACGTTATAAACAAGGGCCAAACGAAGAAGGGACACGCCGCTGAATTTCAACGATTTCAGAGTCATTGCGAACAGGCTTTCTTGGTTTTGCGCCAACACGGTGGACTTATATTGTCTCTATTCGCCATGATGATATCCACCGGGCTGCCTGAACTCTCGTCGGAGAAAGATCTGAACTATCTTAGAGATACGTTGGTACGTACAATCGTTATTAATCGTCCGTAACGGCGGAAAGATACCTTTAAACTGAAATATCTTTGCAGGTTTTAGAAATGTCTGAAAGCGAAGCGCAGAAGCACTTTAGAAGCAAATTCGACGAAGCCCTCTGTAACTCGTGGAAAACATCGTTGAATTGGGCGTCGCACAACATGTCCAAAAACAATAAGACTACATGAACTGCGACAATCGCACAACGCGATAATTTTAACGCGCTTAAGAATACCGTCATGACGTCATCGAACGTATTGTCCGCGCAAACGCGCCGAGATGTGCGCTCTGACTCATTTGACGAGCATCGCGAGTGATCGCTCGCTTTGAAGACTCGCGGAGATTAAAGCCAGAGCTGTCGCCACGATACTGGAGCCGAAAAGCCGGCGGCGACTGTAGCTCGTACAATTGAGACTGTATAAAGCGATCGTTGCCTTTAGTGCTCAGCGTGCTCGTACTATCGAGAGAGGTGATCTCGAGAGGTAGCGGAATCGCCGGTCGAGACTCAAATACGTTAGGCTCGTACACTTTTAGAGCTCTATCTTATACAGCACAAACAGTCGGTGCCTACGTTCAGTCAACTGTTAAGGTTCTTCAATGATGGACGTACGGTACATATCATTGAACAAGATTCTTTTGACATTTTAGTTTTGTTCGAACTTCGTTTAAGACGCTTGCACTTCCATCGATCGATTGTAAATTTTAAGTTGTGAGAAATTAGAGTTTCATTGAAGTATGATTAAATCTCGTTAAATTGAATGTTGTTTTAAAATGTTTATCGCGATACGTCGGAAATCTATGTGATGATGTTCGATTATAGCATGAATCTTGCTGGCAACAAATGAGAAAAATCTCGTCGTTTCTTTTAGTATAAAGAAATCGATTTCTCTTCATTTGTATTTTACGCAGTGGAAATTTTTGTTATAATTGAAACGTTAAATGTGATATCGAAAAGTATGTACGCCACATTATTTAATTCGAATGAATGAAAGAGCTCGACGATCGTTTCGACGATACGATGGATGCTACGGTTTGTCCCTTACTGTTGGCAATAGTGGCCAGAAGCAATATCTATTTTGCAAAACTGCACACCGCAGCATCTGTAAGACTAAATGATCGGCCCGATCTTAAATGACAAGTTCTCTTCATTTCTTTTGCAGAAATTATGCGAAAAATCAATTGTGAATCAATTGATGTGCAGTAGGTATGCGCACTGCCGACTATAGATATTTTTCTTACGTGACATACGCCTATGTTTGAAAGTTGATTTCTTACTTAAGAGAGAAAGAGAGAGAGAGAGAGAGAGAGAAAAGAAGCAAACAAACGATAATTTTCGTACTGGTGACAAATAAAATTTCCTAATTATCATCGTGCGTAATATCGTGTTTAAAAGTACATACATATGCAAATAATAAAGCCACACGAGAGATAAATATATTTTGATAAATATACTACAATCCATATTAGCAATAGTTAACTCAGTAGGATCATTCATACTTCAGCACTATCCTACATAATAGACTGTTACGCTTTCTAAAACGGCTCTAAAATGCACGACCATATGCACGCTCCTCACAATGTAAGATAAGATAATGATCTCTAATACACTAGAAAAAAAAAAAATAAATAATGTTGCAGAATTGCGTCAATACTGCAGTACAATACTACTATCCATATCATCCATACGTACACATAGAGAGAGAGAAAGAGAGAGAGAGAGAGAGAGAGAGAGAAAAAGAGAGAGAGAGAGATCC